ACCACAGTAGGGTTGGACTTGATGGTCTTGGAGGTCTCTTCAAAGCTGAGACTGGATGTGGCACTTTGTGCCATGGTCTAGTGACCACAGAAAGGTTGGACTGGATGGTCTTTGAGGTCTCTTCCAACCTAGTTGATTCTGATTCTGTGATTTCCACGTCCCTCAGGCAGAGTGGGTGTCTGCCCTACTTTGGCTGGAGGATTCACCTGGAATTGAGTTCTGCTCCTCCCCACAGGGCTCAGCTCTGCCCTGGCCAGGTGACACACCTGTGTCTCTGGCCATGGGGACTGAACCTTCCACCTTGAATGTACCCAGGGATCAATCCGTGGGCACCGAGCTCCCAGCCCTTAGGGGTCAAGGAGCATTCCCTGGGCTTGTGAGCAGGTTTTGCCCCAGGGCTCCATAAAACTCAGTCACAGGACTCATGTTCCCTCCTGCCAGGGGAGCAACGAGCAGCTGATGTTTATATTTCGTGGCCATAAACGTTATCTGCCACAGGAACCATGAGTGATAGCGCAGCTGGGGAGCTGATAACGGGGAGGGTCACCCACAGGGCTGTGTTCCTTGTTCCTGGAGCCCCCCTGGGTCTCACCTCTGTGCCTTTCCTCCTGCTGTTCCCCCCAGAGCATCCTGGTGAACTGGACGAAGGGGTTCAAGTGCAGCAGCGTGGAGGGGAGGGATGTGGTGTCGCTGCTACGTAAATCCATCAAGAAACGAGGGGTAAGAGGCTGGGGAGGTGTGTCACCTCCTGGGGAGGTGGGATGGGGGCACAGGGATCCCTGGGACAGGATCTCCATGGAGATGTTTCAGTCTCTTTTATCCACGTTGGCTCACTCTCTCTCCTGTCCATCTCAGGACTTTGACATCGACATCGTGGCCGTGGTGAACGACACCGTGGGGACCATGATGACCTGTGGCTATGATGACCACAACTGTGAAGTTGGCCTCATTGTTGGTGAGCTGCAGCAAGGGGGGAGAGGGTCCATGCCTCTCCAGAGGGAGATCCTGTTCCTTCAGGCTCATTTTTTTGGGGGAAAGAGAAGAGATAAGAGTGTTGCAAGATTAGCCTCGTGTTTGCTTGTGTCCATCTTCGCTGTCTGTTGGGCTGTGGCCAGATGGGCATGAGGGGAAGGCAGAGCCCTCACTCACTGTGTCCCTGTGCAGGGACTGGTACCAATGCCTGCTACATGGAGGAGATGAGGCACATTGACCTGGTGGAAGGGGATGAAGGTCGGATGTGCATCAACATGGAGTGGGGAGCGTTCGGCGACGACGGAGTCCTCAACGACATCCGCACCGAGTTCGACCGCGAGATCGACATGGGCTCGCTCAACCCTGGCAAACAATTGTGAGCAGATTCTTGGCTCGGGCTCAGGCTTTGCTGGGCATTGTCCCTGCTCCGATGCTGGGACTGGGGAGGTCATTCTGGCTAACTGGGTCACCACGTCCTGTGCCACCGACGCGGAGAGGAGCTGTATCCCAGCTGGGGTTGTCTGCCCAACTTGCTGCCCTCACGTGAACGTGCTGATTCCTCTTCCCTTCCCCAGCCACTGGAATCAGCTTCCAGCCCAGGCAAACATCCCCACCTAATGTCCACATCCCAATCCCACAGATTCCCCCGTCCCTGGCAGCAGGGAGGGAATCTGAGGGGGCTCTGCAGACCCTCCAGGTGGTCACCAGTTCTCCTTTCAGAGGGATGGTCATGGCCACGTGGCTTCATATTCTCAGTGATGGGATAAGCTGCTCTGGGAAGAGATTACCTTGATTCCATCTGGGACTGGGAGGCTGCCAAAGGCTTTTCAGGTCAACCTGTGGCCAATTCACAGCACATGAAGCCAAACACACACGTTGTGTAGCCCGGAGGAAAGGAGGCTCGAGGGGAGACCTTGTAGGGGGGACAGGAGGTTCAGGCTGGATATCAGGGACAATTCCTTCTCTGAAAGGGTGGTGAGGTATGGCACAGCTGCCCAGGGCAGTGGTGGCATCCCCAGCCCTTGGGGGATTTAACAGCCCTGTGGATGTGGCCCTTGGGAACAAGGTTAGTCGTGGCCTCAGCAGCACTGGGGGAACAGTTGGACTCGGTGACCTTAGAGCCTTTTCCAGCCCAAACCATTCCATGATTCTATCTCGTGCCTCCCTGTGGGCAGGTTTGAGAAGATGATCAGTGGGATGTACATGGGAGAGCTGGTCAGACTAGACTCAGTGAAGATGACCAAGGAAGGGCTGTTGTTTGGGGGAAAGCTCACCCCAGATCTGCTCACTACTGGCCACTTCGAGACCAAATACGTCTCTGCCATGGGAGAGCTGGTCAGACTCATCCTGGTGAAGATGACCAAGGAAGGGCTGTTGTTTGGGGGAAAGCTCACCCCAGATCTGCTCACTACTGGCCACTTCGAGACCAAATACGTCTCTGCCATCGAGAAGTAAGTGAAATCCAGTTGTTTCCATGAGGTTCCACCTCCTGATACCCACGGATGGACCATCCTTGAGCAAACCCAACTGGGTGCGAGTTGGATTCTCGGGCACAAACCCTTTCCTGTCCTCCTAGGGAGAAGGAAGGTCTGCAGAAAGCCCACGAGATCCTGAGCAAACTGGGCCTGGAGCCATCCCACGAGGACTGTGTGGCCACACTGCGCATCTGCCAGATCGTGTCCACGCGCTCGGCCAGTCTGTGCGGGGCCACGCTGGCCGCCGTGCTGCGGCGCATCAAGGACAACAAGAGCGTGGACAGGCTGCGCTCGACCGTCGGCGTGGACGGCTCTGTCTACAAGAAACACCCACAGTGAGTCCACCGGGGTGCTGGGGACAGGGATGGGGACAGGGAGCTGCTCCTGCCAGCACAGGGACAGGGATGGGGATGGGGACAGGGAACTGCCTGTGCCAGCACAGGGACAGGGACAGGGATGGGGACAGGGAGCTGCTCCTGGCAGCACAGGGACAGGGACGGGGG